ACAAAATATCTTATTTAGTACGTGCTTTTTTGGGACAGGTTTGGGTGGTGGTGGTGGGAAAACTCGAAATAATGGGATGGTGTAACGGTGTTGGCATTGGTGTTAGAATATTGAATGCAATAAATTATCATGAACAACTTTAAAAACAAATTTAAAAAAGAGTGATCCCTAAGTACAGGGCAAGGAGTAAGCCCTGAGCAGTGCTGGGTGTGCCCCGCCCCCTAACCAATACATACAAAGAAGTTGTATTCTACAGATCCTAGACATTCTGTTTCTTGGGTTCCATATGACACTGAGTTGGTGGAACTAGGATAATAACATATTTAATTTTCTAGAAACAGGGGTTACAAACTATGACCCGTGAGTCAAATTTGGCTTGAGCAGCTATTAAAAAAAAAAAATCAAACAAACAGGAGGGTCTCTCTAACAATGCTTGGGAGGAGGTAGGGCAAGAGAGGCAATACTCAGCACAGTGGTGCTGTTCACAACATGAAACTCTTCAGTTCTTATTGCACTAAAGAGAGCCAAGAAGGGAGGGTATAAGAACTCTCTCATATAAGAGCAGAACAGAATACTATTTGAGGCCAGAAAGACAGTACATGGGTACTTGCATACCTTCCAGCCGATCCCGGTTCAATCTACAGCACCACAATCCTGAGGGCTATATATCCGTGGCACTTACCAGCACAGCTTGGGATCATTCTCCTCCTCCACCCACGATGGCCCTGGCCCCTAGCAAAATACATACCAGTATTTTAAAGCGTCACTTGGTCTCAGTTTTATTTTTTCCTTCTTCCCCTCCCTTTAGTTCTACTGCTACAATAACATATAATTGCATGTACTTGGTAGTAGAGCTCACTGGGGTAACTTGGTTGTGGTGTGTTGAAGATAACATCAACAACATCAATGACAAAACAAGGCAGGAACCTTATCCCTGAGAAATCCCTGGGCTCTCCTCTCTCAAAATGATAGATGGACACTGCTTTTACCTAATACTCAACATGCAAAAGAAGAAGTGACTTTTTTGTGACTTTGTTTGTTTGGGGGCTACACCCAGCAGTGCTCAGGTCAGACTTCTGGATTGATACTCAGTTATCATTCCTGGTGGGCTCAGGGGAATCATCTGAGAAGGCTGGGACTTGAACCCAGATTGGCCACATGCAAGGCAAGCACCCTACCTGTTGCACTATTATTCCAGCCCTCTGCCCAGTAAATTTTTTCAAAAAGCAAGGAAAGTTTTATTGTGTGGCCAAGATGATCACTTCTTTCCTGTCTAGACTGCCTTGTCCAGCATCTGTTTCCTAAAGTGGGTAATGCTGCCACCTCAGATTTCTGGAATGCTCTAAGGGTCTGGTAGTAGCCTTTATGTTCATATGAAGAAGGCAATTTTCAGGGGAGTGCTGAGTGACAATTTCTCTGCAAAGGGATAAATAAGGCCAAATAAGTTAGGGAACCTCTGATCTAAGAAATCCTCCTGCTACTTCTATCCTGCCATAGGCTGTTAATTTAAAAACACAAATCTGACCACTCACCTGCTCTCCTTGCTTTTATAATCACATCTCCAAATTCTCAACTCAGCCCATTTGGTTCCCATTGTACCCAGGGCCATATCGAATTACTTTAATTGAAATGCATGCAGGAGACAAGCAGGCAAAGAAAACAAGGGAGTGGGCCAGGTGAACAGGATAGGTGACAATAACAATCGTTCCCAGCCAATAATAAGGAATAAGGAGAGCAACAAGTCTGTTGTGCTGATACTGCTCCTGTTTGCCATCATGCACTGGCTGACTCCAGGGGTGGCAGACAATTAGGTAACTGAAAGCCTCGAATTAGGATTTTAAATACACTATTATCATTACTATTTTTTAAAATTTGTTTTTGTCTGGGGGCCACATCTGGCAGTCCTCAGGCGACCATGCATGCTGGGATAGAACTCGGGCTTTGGCAGACAAGACATGCATTTACTCCACTGAGCTCTCTCCAGCCCCTCATTATTATAATTACGAGCAAATCTTCTACCCCAACTATGGCTAAGGATTATTAATTTCCTGAGAGGTGGCTGGTCACTCTACCAGTGCTGCTGGCCAACACACCATGTGAGGGTTATGCAAAGAGATACCCTGATAGATAGATGATTCAAGGCTAAAATTGAGCAACTGCTCTGGTAAGCAGCCTGATAACTTATTAAAACACCTTAAATTAGTGTCAGGGAAGTAGTTTAATGCTAGAGTACAATGCTGTGCGTATGTAAAATGTTTATGTTCAGCAGTTAGGCACATATCTTACTGGACAGGATCCCAGGTCTGGAAGCCCGTGAACATAACTGAGGTAGCTTAGGACCTCACATGGAATCATCAGGTCTGGTTTGGAATTGCCCCAGGGGCTAGAAAATTTCCTCAATATCCTCAATTTTTAAAAATTGGCCTTTCTCTAACATTTAAAGTTATATATTTTTTGAGATAAAATAATTTTATAGAGAGAAATGTAAGAGGAAAGCCATATGTTCCAAAGACAACATGGACTTCTCTAGAAGGAGAAAAAAACCCTCAACCTTTAACATATGCTCATTTTTGGGAGAAAGTGACAACATTTCCAGAAATCTAAATTAGGAAAGACCATTCACTAGGTGTGCAAGCTCTTATTTCTAAGACCACGCATGCTTACAAAAGTTAAAAGTTAGACATACATGCTCATCTACCATAATGGGTATTTTGACAACCATTCTTTTTAGGTTTTGTTTGGTCCTTTTTGGTTTTGTTTTTGAGTCATACCCAACAATGCTCAGGGGTCAACTACTAGTGCTTGGGTGACCATATAATGATGGTAGGGATGAAACTGGGGCTGGTCTCATGAACAGTAAGTACTTCAAACCCTGTACTATCTCTCAGGCCATGACAATCACGACTATAAAGGAAAAAAATCATTATGATAAAAAAATAAAATGTGATAATGTATAGAGAATGAGTATAAGTGTGCTTAAAATCACCACTAACTAGATTTTAACTCGGGGGGGAAAAAAGATATTAATGGCCAGATATCTCAAACAGTCATGTTTTACACGTGGGAAGCCTCCATTTGATCACCAGTACTAAGTGGTCTCACCCCCCCCCCCAACCCTTGTCTAGCGTCAAAAGTGCCCTACTTAACCAAAATAAAGTATTTCATCAAATCTCTTACCTTTTAACTACAAATTTATAAACTGGGGTTACTTTCCCAGCCCTAATAGACAACTTAGGTGGGTTTACTGAGTCTTTTTTTTTTATTTTGTAAAAAAAAAATTATTTTCATAAAGTTGTTCACATTATTTGATTACCTTCAATATTTCAACACCAATCCCACTACCATTACACGTTCCCACCATCATTTAAGCCTACCTGACAGTGGTAGATGCTAGATAATTTATTTTCTATTGCTTATTATGAATATCATGAGAGGTGGTAAGGTCGCTTTTGCAGCTGCGCACTACTGGAATTCTAAAATTGTACGAACAATAAACACCTCCAAGTTTGCATGGCATTGGAGAGCGAGACAGGAAAACTCAGGCTGCCCCAGCTTTTCCAGTTTGCTCTATCACTCTGTATAGAAACACAGTGGCAAATGGAATGTGTACAGTTGGAGAAAAAGCTATTTTAGCAAGCTCCATTATTTGGACTGTAAGGGCTAAGCTACTTACTGATTCTCAAGAAGCTTTTTTATATTGTCCACAGAAGAAAAATGTTGTTCCAAATTTCTACACATCTCAAGTGTAGCAGAAAATTATTTACTAGGTAATTAAGGAGAGAGTAAGCATGGAAGCTTTGCTAAAAATTGTGCTTTGGGGGAACAGAGGGACAGAACAAAGAGCAGAGCATTTGCCTTCCACAAAACCAAGCTGGGTTCAACCCCAGTACCCCATATGGGCCCCCAAGCCCCACTAGTAATGAACCCTGTGTGAAAAGCCAAGAGTAAATCCTGAGCAGTAGCCCCTGAGTGCCACCAGATATGGCCCCCAAACAAAAACAAACAAAAAACCCATGACTTCTAACATTAAAATGGAGACACATTAAAATTAAGGCACACTTTATCAAAATAAAGACATGATCCATGTGAACTGATAGAAATATACCCACACACTTGAAATTAAGGACATACAGTGGGGAAAAAAGTAGGTAACACAAAGTTATACACAAACCAATGTTTACTGCATCACTATTTTGTTGCTTTGGTTTTAATTTTTTTCTTTTTTGGGGGGGGAGAGGGGTAGCATGCCTGGTGGTATTCAGGATGCTTGACAGATAAGGTTGTGACAGGTTTCCAAATCAGGCTTCCCCCATGCAAAGCATACTTTGCATATGCTCAAGCCCACTGAACTACCTCTTTAGACCTTAAAGAAATAATGGAAAGTGAATAAATCATAAGATAAATGACAAGTACTAGATGATTTCACTCAAAAGAGAAGAAATGAATGGCCAACCTAAAGTTAGAACAACAGACTCAAAGTTACCACCTCAGGAAAAGAGGGGGCAAAATGAGAGATATGGTAAGGAAAGTGGCAGGGGAAAACGTACACAACAACAACAGCAACAACAACTATAATCTCCAAGTGAGAAAAAGAATAAAAATCATGCTACTGTGCTATGAACTCAAGAAACAGACCTGACAAAAATAAAGGACACTCCAGTTATAACATGAGGTAACAATAAATACAGCAAACATGAATCAGGATGAAAACTCAATTCTACACTTAGAATGTCTGTTGGTGGATCCACGATCTGTGTAAATACGAAGATAATAATAAAAACTCAATAATAAAAGCCAAAAACAGGGCTGGGAAGTTATCTGCAGGATTTATTAACTACAGGTTCCGCTTCTGACCTCTCCTTACCTTTACTTACTGATCCTACACTTTTAACTGAAGTAGCTAATGATCAGTTCTGGTTTACAGAAGAACGACTGGTTCAATGACTACGACTGGTGAGTCCGGTCTACGAAAAAGGCTTTGTAAGATCAGAATTACTCACGTGATATCCCTTCGTTGATAGCAGCCCTGAAGCAAGCAGGCAATCAGGTCACTGATAAACTCCACATCATCTCTGTGAAGAGCTGCTTCTAACTCCTGAGTAGATGGGACAGGAGGGAGCAGAGAGAGCCGAGAGAGAGGGGAGAGAGACGAGAGAGAGAGAGAGAAGGGGGAGAGAGGGGAGAGAGAGAGAGAGATTCAGAGGTTATATTTCTTAAAATCCATAACCATTCTCAACACCACTCGCCCAGCAATCAAAGGGTCAGAGTAAAATAGTGTGTATTTTATTTTCATCTCATTCATTTCCTTCCACCCTCACTACTTGAAGATAATCTAGAATTCAACTCCATTAAAATAAGTTTTTTGACAGGGGTGGTGGGGGCCTGGGTCACACCCAGTGGGGTTCAGGAGTGACCCTCATGGTGCTCAGAGGACCACATGTAAGGACAAGAATAGAATCAGGATAAGTGGGATACATGGCGAGTGCTTTAACCTCTAGACTCTCTCTGGCCTTAGATTTTAATTCTTCCTCTGGTGTTTATTTCTCCCTCTGTTCTACTTATCTGAATATTAGGAAACTCATGTGTATCTCTATAAATTAATGCTAGCTGCATAAATACCAAAGAACTTAATTTAAAATGAGTTGTTTTGCTTTTTATTTAAATGGCAAGAAAAATCAAGGAGCAAATACGTAATGATCACTTGATCACTTGGCATCCCGTTACTCATCAATTTGCTCAAGCAGGCGCCAGTAATGTCTTAATTCGTCCCTGTCGCATGCTAGTGTAGCCCAATGGCATCTGCTTGTTCTAGGAACACGAAGAGCCTCAAACTGATCATTCAGAGTCTTGACGAAGAAGTCTGACCATCTTGTAGGTGGGCGGCCACGTGATCTTTTGACGTCCCATGGAATCTAGTAACGGCTCTAGTCCAGCGGTCATCTCCAAGTCGCATTACGTGTCCACCCCACCTGATTTTCAATGCCTTGGCAAACAAGAAAGCGTCCCTGATTCTCAATTGTCGACGGAGGTCGGAACTCTGGATTCTTTCTCTCACTTGAGTAAAGCGTGATACTCCAAGCATAGCTCTTTCGATTCCTCTTTGGGAGACCCGAATAGTGTTCTCATCCTGTTTGCGTAGGGCCCAGGTCTCTGAGGCGTATGTTAATGCAGGAAGAACAGTGGAATCGAAGAGGTGTGCCCGGAGTTGGAGGTTCTTCGTCCTCTTAGCTATTTCTTTGATGCTCTTGAAGGTGTTCCAAGCCTCTCTCTTCCTCCTGCACAACTCAGGTGCCAGGTCATTCGTCATGTTGACTTCTCAACTTAGGTACACATAACTTGCATTTGGAGATGGTCATTCCGTTGAGAGTGAATGAAACGTCAGGAACAAGACTGTTTCTCATGAACACTGTCTTCATGAGATTCAGCTGTAGTCCGATCTTTTCACACTCACGGTTGAAGTCAGCCAGCATTTGTGCCATGTGGCTAATGTTTGGTGTTATTAGAACGATGTCATCAGTGAAGCGGAGGTGGTATATTTGCCAACCATTGATCTTTACTCCCATTCCTTCCCATTCCAGTCATTGCATGATGTTCTCCAGGGTGGCACTGAAGAGTTTCGGTGAAATGCTATCACCCTGCCAAACCCCTCTCTTGACATGGATGATCACTTCCTTGTAGAATAGTGAGATCCTGGTAGTGAATCTGTAAAACAGCTCACAGAGGATCCTGATGTATTTGAATTTGAACACCCTGTTTGGCTAGGGCTTCGATGACTGCTTCTGTCTCAACAGAATCAAAGGCCTTCTTTAAATCAATGAACGTTAGACAGAGCAGCATCTTGAACTCCCGAGAAATCTCAATGAGCTTGGTTATCGTGGGTATATGGTGGATGGTGCTGAATCCTTTTCGGAACCCAGCTTGCTCGCATGGTTGTCCTTCATCTAGTGTTCTGCCAATCCTATTCAGGATGACTTGAATGAATAGCTTGTGGACGACAGATAACAGGCAGATCGGGCGATAGTTGCCAATGCTGTGGATGTCTCCCTTCTTGTAGAGTAGAACACTCCTGCTGGTTTTCCATTGGGATGGAACCTTGCAATCAGACAGGTAGCGTGTGAAGAGTTGAGCCAGCGCATTGATGAGTACTGAACGGCAGGTTCTTCAAGTGTACATAATGAGAAAATATTTTTCACTTAACAGTTTTAATGGTAAATCACATCTATAACAGCTTTAACAAACACTATTTTGGGGGTAAACAGCACTGTTAAAGTAATGTGACAATTTTAATGACACACACTACACCTATTAACTAAAATAGGAGAGATCACTAAAACTGAGATTGCTAGAACTCATCTGAACAGAAGTGAGGTAATGTCCATATTAACAGTTTAATCCAAGGTGAAATTATTTACTTTCCTTAAGGTTCAGGTAGATAATACTAAATATCTACCTTGTTTTATTATTACAGTATTCTAAACCAAATGGGACAAAAAGTGATAGAAAATTTTAGAAATTTCAGATGATTCTTTTTTTTTTCTTAATCTCTCACAATAAACTGGTATGTTCCAAGATATTCTAATTCATTAAGTCTTGTGATACAAAGCTTGTATGCATTTTTCACTATGATGCTAACTTCTGCATGTAAACTAAGTTCCAACTGTACACTACACTAAAGGTGTGATGCATACAAAATCTGATTTTTGTTGTTTTTGGGTCATATCTGGCAAAGCTGAGAAGTTATTTTTGGTTCTACCCTGAGGAATCACTTCTGGCAGTGCTTATGGGACCAGATGTGGTGCCAGGGATTGAACCTGGATCTGCAATGTGCAAGGCAAGTACCTACCTGCTGTACATTTCTCAAGTTCCATTTTTTAAGGATTCATTAATTACAGATTCAGTTTCTAACCTTAACACCAATTAATACTCTCTATGTCTGAGGTCCTGGGTTCAATCCCTCAATACCAAACAAAAATTAAACAAAAAAAACCACAGGACCATAGAGATACCAAGATTTGATCCTGGACATTCCAGACCGTCCCCTGAGCACTGCCAAGCATGATCCCTAAGCGCAGAGTCAAGAGTAAGCCCTGAGCAAAGCAGGGTTTGGCTCCCAAACTAAAACCAAACAAGACTAACCCACTAATTATAATGTATACTGAATAGTGGTGATGTCTATATAATAACAGTAAAGTTCTTTTGAAAGTCATTACTTTGTTATTTACAAATTACAAGTAGGGTGTTTGCCTTGCATCGGCTTCCTCCGTCCCTCTTGGAGAGCCCGGCAAGCTACTGAGAGTATCCTGCCTACACGGCAAAGCCTGGCAAGCTCCCCATGACATATTCGATATGCCAAAACCAGAAACAAGTCTCACAATGGCGACGTTACTGGTGCCAGTTTGAGCAAATTGATGAACAATGGGGACAGTGCTACAGTGCAGTGCTATTTACAATTTTTTTTTTTGCTATTTTAGGTCACAGCCGGCGATGCACAGGGGTTACTCCTGGCTCATGCACTCAGGAATTACTTCTGGCAGTGCTCAGGGAACCATATGGGATGCTGGGAATCAAACCCGGGTTGGCCGCGTGCAAGGCCAACACCCTACCCGCTGTGCTATCTCTCCTTCCCCCCAAATTTTTTTCTATCACATTTAAAATCATTCCTAAAACTCCAAAAACTTCACAATACAGGCCCGAAGAGACAGCTCAACAGAGTGAGTATGCGTGCAGGTGGAATGCCCAGAACCCAATCCCTGAGCACAGAGAAAACAGTTAGAAGCAACCAGAGCATTTGCTGGGTGTGGTGGGAAAGCCGAAAGAAAAACTTCACAGCATAAAAAGCTGTTAAAAACAACACAAAATAGAAACTATCCTGAGGTTCAACTGAGAAGGAAGGTACTCTACAGTGCCTGAAAAACTAGAATGAGGGTCTGGAGTGATAGCACAGTGGATAGGGCATTTGCCTTGCTTGAGGTGGACCTGTTTGATACCTGGCACCAAACCGGGCCAGCAGTGATCCCTGAGTGCAGAAGTAAGCTCTGGTGTGGCCCCCAAAGTAAGTAACAACAAAAACCCAACCCCACAACAACAACAAAACCCTAAATAACACAAACATTAATGAGATTTGGACTTTAAAAACAATAGGATCGCCACTCAAACATGTCTTTCGTGTGTATGGTAAGAGACAGTAACAAGACTTAGTGTGACAGTGATTTTACTACATAGAGTAAATCATGCTCCCAGGAGAGAACATCGCAGAGTCTCCTGCCCCCGCAGCTGGCTGTCCTCACAGGGGCCCCTTGGAGGAGGGCGGATTGAGTTTCCCTCTCCGCCCTGAGCAGAGCCCTGACAATTGAAGACATAAGGGACCCAGCCAAAGTCATGCTGAGACCACTCTCCACACGCTTGGATGAAGAACTGGCAGAGGAACCCAGGTGTGCGGGACCCAGGGCTGAGATCTCCAAGCCTGCTTGGTTCGGGACTGGGCCTCCTCCACCTTCCAGTAGCTAGACAGTTATACCCACCAAGTGCCGGGTATCCCCATCAACGGCCAGGATGCAGAGACTCTAAAACCAAGCTCCCGGAACACCTCTTATTCTTTAGTTCTAACTCTCAGAGAATCCGGCAGGCTACTGAGAGTATCATACCCGCCTATATGCCTGACTAGGAACACCTGTAAAGGTGATTAGAGGATGCCCCCCGAAGCTTCCATCCCTCTTGGAGAGCCGGGCAAGCTACCGAGAGTATCCCTCCCGCACGGCAGAGCCTGACAAGCTAACCATGGCGTACTCAATATGTAAAAACCAGTAACAAAGAACGGTCCTCATTCCCCTGATCCTGAAGGAGCCCCCAATAGCCCCCACTAGCACATGACAGGGACGAAGGGAGACGTTACTGGGCCCGCTCAAGCGAATCGATGAACAACGGGGTGATAGTGATACATATTATATATATAGTAATACCCAATCATTATGTTGAAAACTAGAAACTAATGCAATGGCATATAGTAATTAAATCAATGAAGACTGAAAATTGAAAATATTTTGCTCTCACAAACACTCATCTATAGTAGTGGTTCTTCTATCAGTTTACTAATTC